TTGGATTCATGGAATATTGATTTTTTTTTTTTTTTTTTTTTCATTTTTTTTGCAACTGATATCTCAAAATAACGCTAGACATTTATCATGGATATGAATGCCATTAAGAGGCAAGAATTTCAAGAATATTTAGTGTACAATAACTGTTTATCAACAACGATGTGGGTTTTTTTGAAAATGCATTCTAGTAAACTAGAAAATGGAAGCAATTTTGACATGGCTATAGAGAGTATATACAATAGCCTGAATTCCATCATCCATTCATTTTGTCTCATTTCCATTTAGCATGACATTCATAGATATACAACTGCCAGAATATGTCTACAGCAAAATACTTTATCTTATATCCAAATATCGAGGTAAATACTCCTGACACAAAGTTTTAACAAAAGGCAATGACTCTGTAATAAAGTGGTTGTAAGCCCTAACATTGTTGCTGAATATCGGTTTTGAACGATCAATTTACACATCAATTTTCAATTTCCGCAATTTACAGCTGTGCTCATGACAAAAAGTTTTAACAAAGAGGAAAAACTCTGTAATTAAATGATATCGTCCGACATACAAATAATCACTAACCGCCACGATGGTGTAGAGGTTTTGACTCAAGTAGTGATGATCTCTTGGCTGGAGATAAATGAAAGACTGTATATTCAACAGAACAAGTGTAGAAAGGAAGCACCAGCGGTTAGGGATAACACCAAGAGAGATAACATAGAAAATCTTAAATGATAAAAAGCGTTACATGGCAATTAACAATATTTTATTTCTGCAATGTAATAAAGAATAACACTCTTACCTTCGTCTGGAAAGCATTGTGACGAAATCTTTGTTTCGACACATACAGTTGATGCTGGACATAATAAATGATGACAGCTACCGCCAGTTGCCTGTAGGGAATATTGCAAAACAATGACCACGTTAAATGAATAATATATATATATAAACAATAATCAAAATCGTGATATCGAAAGCACAGTCCCTTGTTGTTTTAATCATAGTGTCGTTTATGTAGTGTCAATTTAAAATAGTCAGTTCATTAGCTTAATGATAAATATAAGGGGCGTGATGATAAATCTAAGTGACAATGTGTGTAATTTTCTATTATCGATTCATATATTAATGGCTTAAAACAACGTGCTATGATTGTAATAGCTTGATGTATAATTGGCATTTCATCTGAACTGTTTTTTTAACAAGTGCTGTTTCTCCTTAAAATATATATTATCTGAAATCTTCCGCTCGGCAGTGGGTTCTAATCTATCTAACTCTAAATTTGTATCGAAAGGTGCTAATCCCTTGCGTATCTTTTGTACAGTCATCTTTACACGTGCATTTTATCCAGAAACTTCCCTCCGAAGTATTATTCATGTTCCCCCCACATACAACGTATTTCGTTAATTCATTTGATGAGAGGAGTTGTCAATTTGAACACAAACTAACCTCTTTAATTGAATTTCGTTGTTTGTAGATATTTGAATCAGAATCTCCCGAATAACTCCAGCAGTTTTCACCTGCGTAGAGCTTACACTCCAGCTGCGATTTGGTATAGCTTAGCACTTCACAATCGGAATATCTGATGCATGCTTTCTGACACTGAATATATCCTATCGTCGATAGCGAGAGGAAAGGATTCGCACATCGTATATCTGTGTCAGCCTCAAGTGATGTCGACACTAACTCACAATTCACATTTGTTATTAATAAAATGGCCAACTGGAATAAGAACGAGTTGAACGTCTCTATGAAGTCCATGGCCTCCGACATGACTATACACTTTCCTTATGCGTTATTGGTATAATTTGAAACACTTTTGAATACTGTAGAAATTATAACGATCAGCACTTGTCCATATACATTTGATAAATGATGTGAGAGTAGAATTCAATGATTTGTGATATTAGAAAACACTTAGCAAGATTGTTTGAGTAAAACATTTAAACCCAACAGCAATTCACAAATCAATGTACATAATCATTTGTATACATCTCCACACACATGTATAATTATACAAAAACGGACTGCGTCAATCATACTATTTTAGACTGTAAAGTGTACCGCTCAAAGAAACTCTAAACCATGGTATCACCACAAACAATGTTTAAAACACCAGTCGTTGAGTCTTTAACTTAAAAAACCCATTATTTCTTCTAACAGAGCTGCCAATTCCATGGTTCATGAAGCAAGAAAATGTCCACATTTATTATTGAAGGAAATCAGCACCGCATATCGTCTGATTCTAGCGACTAAGTCTGTGTCTATATGTATCTCAAACATCACAGAAGGATTGATTTGTAACCTTATTTTCCTGTCAGCAAGTTTTGTGTCGTACTTCTTCAGAAATGCTAAATCAATACTCGAAAATAACTAAACCGTTATCTGCAAGTTTGTCATTCCTGATCTAAAGATAACTTGTAAACACAAATCTTAAATAGCAACGATTAAGAAATAAGATATCTCAATTAATCATGGTATAAAAAAGAATTTGACAAAATAGAAGTAGCAAAGAAAGCCTCATATTGACGATTAGATATATTTTTTGCGTCTGACCAGATAATCGAACCGCGCTTGGTGAAACACCTGTACGTTGATATTTTACCACCCACTCCTTGTTTCATTCATCGATTGTTTTAAATGGAATCGTCTAATCAATTATTAAGGCTTGTTATAAATCACTACTTACCAAAGAACCATGAATATAATTGTGAGCATGACAATAGCACTAACAGATTGAAAAAAATCTTGCTTGAGCATAGGAACGGTTTCATTAATACTGGCCAAGGTGTTCCGGAATAGTAAGCGCCTTCTGCTTCATCGAAGACAAATGCCATGTAAATCTTGATCAATTAAAGTAAGTAATGTCACGTCCACAAATGGAGACAAGGTAAACAACAGCGGAACCAACAGAAAAATTAACAACCATAAAACACATTCAACTTCATATCGCACAAAGAAATATATTTCTCAACGGAATCACTATGAATAGTACAAAACACCTTTTGAAACCCTATGTTACAAGTTTGTCCGTCAGTTGACCACATATTGCACGAAAACTATTGTAATTGTAATATGAATAGACACTTGCGTATCGAATCAACTGTGGCATTTAAACACCATAGGTTGGCGATGCAGTTAGTTGCTACCCAGACATGGAAAGTTCACATTATTGAAACAGAAATATTACACCTATCATACAGCTTAGTTGAATGTTGTTCTTGCTAACTTTAATGTAGAAAAGTTTTTTTCCCTTTAATATTTAAAACACGGGAAATTCTTTTAATGTTTACACTTCTACAGAACATAGACTTTATTTAATGATGTAAGCAACTATGAACTACAACCTCTGAAGTATTTAGTAGGCTGTTTATGAACTATGACCTCTGAAGTATTTGGTAGGCTGTTGATGAACTATGACATCTGAAGTATTTGGTAGGCTGTTGATGAACTATGACCTCTGAAGTATTTGGTAGGCTGTTTATGAACTATGACCTCTGAAGTATTGAAATATTTTTTTGTCGTCATCAATGACTTGAAAACAAAAGTATATTCTGAATCAACTATTTTGTTGTAATTGTAAACTAACAAATTACCGAGTATTTGATAACTTTGATAAAGGAATCCGCTTATAACACAGGAAGATTATCATTATTATTCTATGTTTGATCCTTGCTATGTGTCAGATAACATTTCGTTGACCAATTCCTACGCACGACCATGCCTAACTGGCGTCTCATGAATGCATGCTAGACACGGGAAAACTTTCTGAGATGCTTTGAGACGTCATGAAGGATACGCAGGAGTTCATTACGACGTAATGAGTATGCAAAGAAATCATTAAAGGAGAGCCTTTTGACAAATATTAGAGAGTGGACTTCATTGTGGCCTCCTTGTAGACCTTGGCTTTTCAATTGATTTTCCAAGTCGTAGATTCAAATATAATCAACAGTTTTAATAATTGCTTAAAACATGGAGTTTTTATTAGATATTAAAAGAAAAAAAACTACACACTCTGAAAAAAAGATTTGCAAATGTATTTTTACTGTTATTCCACACCGTTGTTTATTTCACACGTGGATGGCGCCAGCAGTGTCGAGATATATTGAAAAGTCTATCAGATCTTATTACAAAAAATATAAATATCATTCCTTAAATGCGTAGATTCTTGATCTGTAAAGCCTCACTTCATTTACGACAAATAATAGTGCTTCGCTTTCAAGGAAATTAGCCTTGTATCATTTTAATATAATTTGTATTGTCATTGACATGTTAACAAATCTAATTCTGTTTCAATAAGAAAGAATCTATTTTACATTCTATAAATACAAAAATATAAAATTTGCCTTTTCAAAAAGATCTTCTGATATCTAATACAGCGAAAACTACATCAAATTTAAATTGAAATATTCAGAACGACTATAATTAGAATAACATACATATTAGAATAAAAAATATGTGATTATAATAATATAGAAAATAGAAAAAATATAGAAAAAATGTGTTTGTAATTTCATCACGTATTGTAACAGTCGTAATCAAATATAAAGCACATGGACGGATAACATAGCATGTATGGATGCCATGTTTATAGTACTTCATAAATAAAATATTATGCGTTATTTTGTATGATAATGTAAACTGTTTTATCAAAGTGTGAGAACAAAAATCCTAAATATCAATATAACATGTAAAATTTTATCACAGTTTTTGACTTTACTTAAAAATATGTTTATATATAGATTACAGTTACAATAACGATTGTCAACGAGTAAACATGAAATCTAAATATAATGTTAAAGCAAAGTTATTTTATCAGTCCATAAATGTTGTAATTAAGCATTTTCTATACATAATCTTGTATTAGTTTAACATGTATAACCATTCAAAACAATAAACAAACAAAAGATAGAAACAAAATACCACGCGTGTTGTGATAGAGAAACATTTCAACAATAATAAAAAATATATAGTTCTACGAAACGTAGTATTGATTTAAACCACACGATATCACAGATTTGCAGGTTCAGAGTTGTGTTTTCCTAGGAAATGAGTAATCATTGTTTCATCTTCTGTGTATAGAAGGGTAGGGGACTGGCCCGTCCATGAGTGTTGTAGTTGCTGATGGTGGTGGCAGCGGGAGCTTGGGGCAGGCCAGCCGACTTGTCGCGAATACTCATGAAGGACTGTTCACGGAAGAGAATGTCCTCAATTGTGTTGGGGTTACCAATGTAGTTCGCATAGTTATTCAGATCTGCAACATAAAATATATGAATAAATACACACCTTTTGTGGATGTCATTCATTGTTTGGGTTCTCTTATTGCTTGTTTGAGTCTATACTTACAAAACAATCCTCGTCTGACTAAATATGCAAAATGTTTAATGTGTTAACTTTTGAAATGCAAAATGAAGTACACAATATTATTATCTGTGATTAAAGTCTTAATAATATCTACACCAACATTGATTACGTCATAAAAAACACATGTTGATACTTCAACTAGTAACATATCCTTTTGTCAAATAGCGAAAATTGCACAAGCATATCAAACGAGTTAAATGATTAACTTCATGCTTTCATACTCAACAAAATGAACCTGATAAAATGTGATAATTCGGAAAACCTGTACAGGTACTCCAAAGTAGCTACTTCTGATTTGACAAATATGATAAAGAAAACGTCATTAAAGTATCTTTGTTCTTACCCCTCGTCTTGGTCTTCGGATACACCTTGCACTTCCAGAGTACAATTGCCACGATTAAGCAGACAAGGAGTGTAGAGACGACAGCAAGGGAGATAATCAGTGCCAAGTTGGTGCTGCTTTCGTCCGAACTAGTGGTTGACTGCAGTGAAAACAATTCATAATGAACCAACAAGTTTTAAAGTTGTTTCAAAGAGGTAGGTTTATGAAAATTATGGGGAAGTTTTCAGGTCGCTATAGTGATACCTTTAAAACATATCATGTTTAGTTGTGCGATATGAAGCTGGATGTGTTTGCCCGTTGGTCCATTTGTTGTATACCTTGTTACTGTTTTAGAACGTGATATTAACGACATAGATTGACCGAGAAATAGACAGTTGGTGTCCTCGATGAAGCAGATGACGTTTACTTCCGAATCAACTGGTCTTATTATCTCCTTGAATTTTTAGTCTTCTTGCAATTCATTGTTTAATTCATATTTTGTCAGAGTTTTATTCAATATAGCTAAGGATTATGATTGTGTTGATATGTCTAAGGTATTTCCGTGGTGTGTTTTATGACCATATCTAGGTTATAAACAATCGAAGGTTACAGGGCTGTCCCTAGAATTTCGACAAGACAGCCGGCTAGTTACATTTTTATTAATGAAATATTCCTGAAACAGAATGTAGATTTGACAGCAATGAGGCCATCTTGTAAAAATCTAAAGGAAATACTGAAACCGATATATAAAAGGATTGTATATATGCGAATTACAGCAGACCTTACAGAGTCGACCAACTGCATTCTCGGAGATGGTTTAACAGACATTTTAGAGACAAAAATATGAAGATTTAGATACCGTACATCCAAATGATAAATCTAACTGTATTGTATAGCTGTTTACTTTTTCTAAAAATCGTCCGAGGTTGATAAGCTCCGAACTATTTTAAGACAAAAGGAACGAATAAGTAAAATTCAGAGTGATCGACAGAAAACAAAAATAAGAATGATGAAGAAGTTTACTAGCCCAAGCATTCAATAATGTTGTTAAATTTACAAGAACGTCAAGTGCATGTGTATATTCTACGCTGTGACTCTGTGCTCATTTGGATAAACGAATAACCATAATATCGGTGATATAGAACTTACGATAGGTCCACAGGAAACACCGTAGTATGATACTCCTCCTACTGTCAGGTAACCCGACAATGAGATTGTCTGAGAGTTAAAGGTAAACCCTGTATTATTTTGAATAGTATCACACATGCCGTATACTGTTGTGTTGACTCCAGATATACCACCGCTGATTGAATATGTCACGACAATACTCCCTGTAATCAAACAGCACAATACATAATGGCATCATTCACATAAACCAATTGGAACGCATACTTAAGATTTTACAAAATACACATAAGTGAATAGATATTTCAAGACAAATTTGAAATGCGATAAAATAGAGCTGTTGAAAGTCTTTAACTAATTGATGCAGTCATTATTGCTAAAGAAATAAGCCGCTGAAATTAAGGATGTAACTGCGGAAAATAAATCCGATAGAAAGTTAGACCTGCCCCGAATCAACTTTAAAAGTTTTCAATCTTGCGTGTATAGTCTGCGCCATGTAAATGTTTGAAACGGGCATGCATAGATTAATTGGGAAACACACGTATAGAGTAAGTACGCATGATGAACTCCGACCATATTTAAATATCACTATCGGCTAAGTTTGGTGGATGAGTGTTTTGTCTTACCTTCCGTAACGGTAACGGAGTTGACCAGAACATCAGGATATTTCGCAGCAAAGTAGTTCCCCATCATAATGGCGAAGGATTTATTGTCAGAACCAACCACTGTGTTGAAGTCTGATTCAAATTTCATCTCGACCAGAGTTGTCTGTTGGATGACGATGTTTGTCTGGGACTGTGATCTTACTGCTACCTGGACATCTTTATAGAAGTCGTAGGCAGATGGAGTCGTATATATATGCAGCTTCAATGCGTAAATTCCAAGAGATGTAAAATTCAGTGAGTAAAAGTTGGCTGAACTCGTTGAAGTTGAGAAAATGGTCTCGTTTGATCCAGTCATCTCGCCTGTGTGATGTTCTGGTTTGTCCAGTTCTGCTGTCATTGTCCAGGTGTGACCCTGTAAACAGAGTGTGGCTTACTCAATGTCTTAAAAGTAAGAATAGTGGCATGTAAATTGTAATATATATCATAGTTCATCATTTCGCTCAGAGCGGACATGTTTGTCTTAGAAAACTGTCATATCCCACCCTCGACACTCCAGGGTTACAAGCACGTTCCCTCTCTGCACCCTATGTGCACGTCACAAGCGAAAAACATTGATTGGTTCCAGGAGAAATACACTACTGGCCAGTCACAGGCTGTTGTGGTCCATTTGAAGATTACCATAGGGACAGCCAACTTCAGAGCAATTTCAATATACCATTATGAGACCTCGAGATTCGTTTGCTGTACATTTTTCTTGTCTTGTCCAAAAGGTTTCGCATTTGGAATTTTTCTATTTCGCTATGACATGTTCCGGAGGGTGAAGACAGTGAATGTGATCGTAACCCTTAGAGTATCGAGGATGGCCAGATCATTAAAAATTACTGAATAAAGCAATAAATGCATAAGGGAATATAAATTACACGTTTAATAATGCGACTCAGTAAGTGCTGAATGGAATGCAATTGATGTATATATTCCCAAATCAATGACATAAAAAAAAAATTTCTAGTTTTCTCGGAACACAGATGTTCAGACAAAAGCTTTTAATACTCAATAAATAATTGGATACGCAATATAACTTTAAAGCAAATTCATGCAGATTTCATCAGATTATACAAATACGAAACATTTCGATGACAAAGCAAAATTATTTCCCTTACTTCGATTGCATGAAAACAACTCTTAGTCAAGTAAAAATATATATAACGGGAAAGTTGTCTGTATTTCAAAATTAATGAGTGTGATTTCCAATTGTCTTACCCTCCAGGCAATATCTGGTATCAGTTCCGATGTAACCTCATCGCGAAGCTCAACGTTAATTGCAAAGTAGTTGTTTTCAATGACAGTCGATGTCATGGATGCAACAGAGGCTGTAATTGGTCGACCAGTAACTGTCAGTGGATCGGAGGAGATGGAAAAGTTTTTGTCGCTTGGTGAGGTCAACACAAAGTCGATATAGAAGTCACTGCCGAATTGGGTGATCAGCAAATCCGTGAAGTTTGCCCAACCATTGACAAACTCGATAGTGAGATTTCCTGTTAGGTTGGCAAGTGCGTTGGAGCCACCAGGACGTAGCGAGGCAGTGATCTGCCAAGGCTGGGAAGCTGTGCCGAGCTGTGTGATCGGTTGTCCCTGCAAATGTATTTACAGAAAAAACAATATATTATGACCTGCAGCATTATCGAAGAACTGGAATGTGTTTACTCTCTTTGTGGGATTTTCCTTTTCATAAATGTCAAGGAATAAACGATAATGATATTATGTTGTATATTGTGATAATACATCAAACATCATTTGTTAAAGAAACATCCATCATAATACAATATCTGTAAAGAACAAGAAATTTCAGATTGGATCTGTAATGAATTAGGCCAACCTGTGCATCCAATACTTGTATCTTGGGCTGCGTCTTAAAAACAACTCCCTCGTGTTGCGGTTCTGGCGCAGGGTTGAAGCGCATTCGCGAAGCCTCTACAATGGTAGTGTATGGAGAGTCGGTCGTTGTGGCATTCCACTCATTTGTTCCCGGAGACGGAAGCGGTTCCACCACAGCTACGCCCGATACTGTTAAGTTAACAACTTGGCTAATGTTTCCAAGCTGGACCTCGTTGACAAGCGTAGCAGAGATATTTTGTAGCTGTGTTAAGGATAAATCACTGGAGTCGTTGATATCTGCAAAACAACGGGATGACATTTACTGGCAATTTATACACGTGTTGTGTAGATAGCGTTCTACAAGATATTAGAACAATTAATTAATTAGTGAAAATCGAATCATCCGTTAAGTTGCATAACTCTTAATTTTATTTATATGAGCATCATTATAATCAACGTACTTGACCGAGGAATATCAGAAATTTCCACGACAACCTCGTCATTTCCAAGAGATCTCCTGCGTCGTCTTCCTGCTGGAGTTGTCTCCCTTACTACCTTTACGAGTCTGACCTTATTGGGAGGGAGATCGAAGAATGCAGCAAGGTGCTGTATCATTTGTGGTCCATAAAATTGATCTACTGTCATTGCCGGGAATTGGAAGGAAACGATTACTGAAGGATCCGTTCTGACCTCAACTGCTTTTTTCCCTCTGATAGTGAAATGGAGAAGTCCAGAGTCACGGTCGTAGTAATTCTCACCAGACGTGTCTGTGATATTTGGCATGAATTCTTCAGGATACGTGGGCGGGTCTAGTATGTAAGCACCGTTCACTGTTCTACCATTTTTCGGAGCAACTAAATTTCCATCGACATAGAGATCGCGCCTATTAGGCTGAGAATACCAGACTGCAAGCTTGACTGATTCTGTATCGTCGGAGTTCAGCAGGAAATATCGAATATGTTGGGGCGATGTTCCAGTAAAGTGAAGGAGGTATTCTTTTTCTGTAAGTAGAAAAACACAAAAAAATACTATTCTGACCCGATTTCTATTTTTTTTTTCATGTTCTACCTAAAATCTAACATGATTAACAAATAGATTTCTAAAGGGAGACAATATGCACCTAAAAGCCTAACCAATTGATAGACACGAGACATTATTGCCTATACATGTGTTTCTCATGGAAGTCGATATTTATTGACCGATGTAATGTTTTTTGGCTTAGAAATGGTAATAAACCTGTAAATACAAATCACATCACTGACCAATATTCCATTTTTTCCTCGTAGCAAGGACAGCCAAGGTAAGATCAATCGCCAGACAGAATAATATTCTAAAATCATATTCAATCAAAACAGAGCGAAGTGACAACAGGAAGAATTTCACGGAGACTCCTGGAAAGTTACATGGAAGATAAGACAAAGGAGATCAATACCCGATGTTCCGATAGAGCAAGCGTATTATGCTTCAGCACCAACCTCCACCACGTAAGTTAGAATAACGACAAAATATTCGATAGATGAAAAGCTAAAATCTATACCTGTAGCCACCATGGCCATAAAGGTTGAAAGTCGTTTACGACAGGTGTAGCCGCTACACCATCCATGATCCTGGGGGCCATTGATGAGATCAAGATACCCGTCTCCCAGAATAGCAACAGGTGATACTCGGCGGGTCTCAGTGTCCGAATCCATACTTTCGATGATAAGAATCCTGTAGTTGAGGTTGTGACACTCATAAGCCTGCCATGCCGAGTGTAAAACACAGTTGCTGTTGCGGATGATACCTATGATAATATCGGATACAGAAAAATCATTGTTATAATGAGATAATTAACTAATTTAATCACTGCCCTACATGTAATGTTAGTATTGAGCTTGAATTTCTTGGATCGGAAACATGTCATCAGCTTGATGCACGAATAAATCGTAAATTGCGAAGGAGCTGTCCGTTTTTTCTACACTCTCGACCTACATTCTACCCTTTGTTGGTGAGGACTCTGTATATTTCTGTATCCATGACAGTTTCAGGAAGAATTCGCCGAATGCCATCGGATTGATAGAATCAACATTTAAACATGTTCAGCTGTCGACATAGACCTTATAACAGGACCTGTGCTTATCTGCTTCGTAGGTTATCCATATCAACCATCGACTGATGAATTTTTAAAGCATTTTGATGCAACTGCAACTTTATTTGGTGTTAATATTCTGTTGAATAAGAGTTACCTACCTTTGTTAGGTGCTATGTTATTGACCGGTATGCGCGTTCCATTTAGTTCAGTAAGCATTGATTTTGGAATTCTGTAATCACCAAGACCTCTGCGTGGATCACCACCCCACTGCCATTCCGATTCTGAAATAACTGCTCCAACACTTCCAAGGAAAGTACCGTCCTGGTCAGAAAACAAATCCTTTTTCAGACCATCACAGTCCATATCCACACAATCGGCACTGTTAATTTTTCTGAAGACGAATGAAGTAAAAAGAATTATTCTTTTATTTGTTTTTCCCTTAAGAGTGCATATTAACCGAATCCGAATATACACTGGTCATTGCGACAATAGACATTTTATTAACGACATACTATGCTACTAGCAATCTCAATAGTTAGATACATCTTCGATTTGAAGAGTTAGAGGACGAAATCTAAGACGCTAAGGAGGGTCTTTTGATAAACAACATTTCTTACCCCACATTTGGTCTGTGATAGAATATTTTGTTATTTGTTGCTACATCAGTGGTAAATGCGTTCTTCGATTCAATCGGATGTTGGCCATCGTCGCCTTTCGCATTCGTGGTTACAGCGAAGTCGTTCCTGCCACAAGTTGTTTTGAAATGAGCAAATGACACACCTGTTCAAAAATAAAAAAATAGACACTATACATCAAGCAGAAACCTATTTTAAGAGGCAGGTGATTGTTTCGTCTAAAGTAAATACTGCACATAAATAGCTTTCAGGATATTTTCTGTGATGCCAGATGTGATATACCTGCAAATTTTGATATTGAGATACCCCTCTTTATTACGTATGTAAGTAACATATTAAATTTATTCTATGATGTATGGAAATTGCACATTTTGCACCAGCTGCTTCGTCCATGATCAACACATAGATGGTTAACTGGCTAGCATTAGCTTTATATGGAGCTAAATATCTCACTTTACAGCGCAAGATGAATTCTCGCAGAACTGTTGTGTGTTACATAAAGTAGACCTGAAAAAATAATCAATCTGCATCATACAGCTGTTTCGTCCTTCTAGGACTTGTCTGTGATACTATGAATCTGAAATTAGAAGCCTAGGAGGCGACTATGGAATATCCGAAGTGATTGAATGATATGTCAGAACCTCAATGGGACTGTGTACAAACCCCATAATTAAATAGATTTCATTTATATTCCTTTATGTACGAAAATCACTTACCGTCAAGTTTCATTACTCCGAACACCGAAGAGTAAGACATGGTCCCATAATGTGGCTTCATTGGCATATTATTGGATGATTGGAAGAAATTAGTAAACCCAATGCCGATGTGACTACCATCTGTGTTCCACGTGCGACCTTGGCTGCTAAATTGAACATTTTCATCAGATTTCAATGCGTCAGATGTGCAGTCAAAAGAAGTTGTCGCACCAACTATTGTCGAATCTTTGATTAAGACATACTTATCAGCAGTTTCGTGCCCAACAGCTGATGGGCCAACAATAAACGGTGCAGTACCCACAGTGTTTTCAACTAGGACAACGTCTTTTATTTCCGCACTTGGACTGTTCTCATAAAAAATACCACCGTCTCGAGATTTCCAAACTGTGAAATTTGAAATTTGAACACATGAAACTGTTAACTTGTCTTCGGGAAATATCCCGAATCCCATTAGGGAACTGTGAGCCAGATTACTTCCATAACCAACAGCACCGCATTCAATGGCGCCTAACCTGTAGGCAACCCTTTCAGCTCCCGCTACAACATTATCCTCAATTATAATAGCCTTGGCATCTGGAGCTTGAATTCCACCATTGTAGCGGAAGTTGAATGGTTCTTGACGGTCTTGGTACGCTCCTTCCCATACAACAAGTGTTACCAGGTTTCGGCGCAGTCGTGTATCATCAGAAGACGTTTCAATACCTAAACCCATCAAATAAGGGTTAAACACGGTGCATACAATAACATCTACGAATGAGCAGCACTTTTCAAAAAAAAAAAAAAATTCGAAACCGAAAAGGTATCATGCACAATAGCGATATATCAAAGGGGTATTTTACACAGTATTATTTTTTTTCTGACTGAACTCCAATGTTCTACATGTGGGCTTATTTCAACCAATTTTGCTTCTCTAAACTGATATTAAAGAAACTAAAATGCTGACAATACTTTTATAATCAAAAGAAAGATTAAAAAACGTACATGTCATTGTAAACTTACGTATCCCTTTAAACTAGCTGCGGCATTAATGTATCATAAAGGAAGTGAATGTTGGAACAAAGAAATGATATATGTGAAAACGTATATTCTCGTTACTTACCCCACCAGATTGCATGATGAACGACGTTATCTTCTATGGGCAAACCATGCGTTCCGAAAACACCAATAGCCGGAGAAAACCCGTTGTGGAAGGCGCATTTGTTTATGTATGAAGGTTTAATATTGCTGACTGTTCCACCATCAAGGAATGTCAATGAAAATCGTGCATCGTAGAATTCGGTGTAGCTTTCCTGTCCCGTGTGGAAAAACTCCACATTGCTCAAGCGAGCATAACCTTGGAATACAAACATAAAAACCGTTATGGAAAAACACATTCTGATTTGAAATCTGAAATTCTAACTTCAAAATTATTACTTTTTACGTTTTAATATTTCTATTCCACGTGATCATAATAATGCTGAACATCGTCGTTTCAGTTTATCATTCAATACGAAATTAAATTTGACTCGAGATGAATATGTAGCCTTACTACTCAAAATCATTTATATGTTGCACTTTATTTCATTTATCAAATGGCGTCATTCACCAATATACTGGCTGCTTCCTTTTTGTGCTGTTCCTACTAACGTCCGGGCACCAAATGATTCCTTAAACATTCTAGAATAGTCCTCGCCGACGACTTTGACATTTCTTGAGAGAAGTCCAACCTCGGCTCCAAGACTGATGGTTTTTCCATTTATTGTCTCCGAATGGACTAGAAAATACACAAAATCCAATATCTACATCCTCTATTCTTATTTCATTGACATTGGCAAAAAATGTCTTCTCTAATTCTAAATTACAATTTTAATTAAAATGCCAAAACTTTCAATAATGTAATATAGTCCCACCAAATTTATTAATTAACTGCAATTTTCCTTTTCTTTTGTTATTATTTCTTTCCACCTGTAAAATAACTTATTTCCAATGGGCTCAAGTTTTAAAGATCATTAGCATTCGATTTCGTGGATAAATTAACTCCATATATGCATTTATATTAATTTCATTTCATGAAAGTAAAACTTACAGTACCCACGAATCCAACGAAAATAAAGCCTCGCCCATAATAATGATTTTGAATTTAAGAGAAGTATCATTCTCAATCTTTTCGACTGACAAGAATTATCTGTTTTAAGGAATGCGGAAAGCATAAAAAATCATGTCAGATAATACTTCAATGATGGTGAAGGCTGGGATTTTCGTACATACATACCAACATGTTTGTACAGTAACGAGCTGTTAAGGGTAAGCGTCAGTCCATCAGTAGATACTCCAGTGATCCTGAATGTCTCTGTTTCCCACATATCATAACTTGTTGTCGCTAGAACGATGTCGCTACCCGCAGTCCAGTTGACAGCCTGTGCTAAAGAGATTGTGGATGCCCCGGCGTTCGCTGTCGAAGCTAACCGTGTCCATGACACCCCAACATCGATCCCGTGAAGGTCAAGGCCTCCAAATACACCTGTTTGTAATTTTTACATACAAAGCATTGTAATTGTAGGAATAAATATGGTGACACCTGCCCCAAACGGCATTGTCTGGTATACAGTTTATAACATGAACAGGTATCTGATTGTTAATGCTTGTGAAAATGTTACCATTTTTCATTATAATTTTTGATTTGTCATCATTTAAAAAGACTAGAATAATTGCAAACCAGTTTTCATTCATTACCATTATCTATAACAGACGGCAACACTACTTAGTATACATACACGTGACTGAACAACACATACCAATTGCCTTCGCCCCCACAGTTGGAGCATTGGTGAGATCTGTGTACTCGTCACTATCCCAGCTGCCTCTAAGGATGACTTGAGAGTTACCGAGGTAGGGAGCATCCGGCCATCCTATTATAAGTCGCCCTCCCAGAATGATGATGTGGGTGGCATTGAGGTCAATGTCACGGTAAGGAGCTGACGTGCCGTGATCAAACTCCAAGACGCCATACAGGATTAACTTATTGAGTGAGGGAATAGCCATGTCTGCTACCATCCACACCTCTGATGATTCAAATTCAGTTCGAAATTACATTTTACTTACTGTTTAAAACATTGTTATGAATCAATGACGCCAAGTGATCAACTTGGTCATTCTGGTAGCATAACAAACAAAAAACAAAAAACAAAAACAAAACAAAAACAAAAACAAAACAAGCAAACAAACAAACGTTTTGATTACTTCTTAATGAGTATGAGTAATTAAATTAACATAACCTTTGACTTATGTCAGAGCAATGTAATAGTATGTTCAATGTTTGTAATATAATTGTTGGCTAAAGACTCGGCTAAGATCAAATTCTATTAATGTGGCTATTTGTCAAAATAAAATATACAGTGGTATATATAATCAATCATCTACTTAGGAAAAGGCCACTTCATAGTATCATGTGTTTCATCATCGTATCGATGGAACAACCAACAAACAATATTTAAGCTGATTCAAAGCAATAAAGGAAATGACATAATTTCACACATCAAAACAAGGAGGGGATAATAAGACCAGGTCTTCTTAAAGAGTAAGCGTCTTCGTCTTCAAGTAAGACGTAAATCTTGTAACGCACAAATCAGGGACAATAATTACCTTGTGGAATAGTCAGGTCAGTATTGGCTACTGGAAGTGTATTGTTAAGCCAAGTCCAAGAGTTTGCCTCTGACCAATACACGAAATCCGATGGTCGCTGAGTGACAGGGGGTACTGTGTTAGGATCCGGTGGTGGTGTACAGTTGGCGTAGAAACATTTGAAGGCCTGAAAATCGAATGATATACTGGCGATACCGGTTGGCAAAGCGGGAGAACCACGCTTTTTTCTACCGCTCGCTCCACCACTTCCTTTTACTGAAAGAGTAAACACAGATATAAGACGAAAGGGAATGATAGGAAATCAGGTAATCAGATAGTCGTGTTAGCATTCACAATAACCCACACACAATTATAGTGTGATTGAAAAGCATCTCATACAAGAAAAGAACCATAATAGAATTATGTAATTACTTTGTAACATACACGTAATGATCGAGTATTTTTCATTTTTTTTTTTTTTTCATTTCATTCCTCTTTCTATTTTATTTTCTTCCGTGATCTATTACATCGTTAGAAAGATATTTACTAAAGCACTAAAACACAATTGATGTTCAATACCATTACGGATTAATGACACTCAGTATAGACAGGCTTAATCCGAGACAGAAAATCAATGTGCATGGATTACACTTATTGTTGCTTTTTGTTGTCAATTCCATAAAGCTTTGTTGTATACAAATGCACTTCTTATCTGATTCAATTACGTTTTAGACAGATTGTTCTTTATCAAATATGTTCACAATTCAATATTCAAGAAGAAATTCCCGTTTTTTTCATAAACCATAAATGCGCTAAGCTATTGTCATTGTGTTTACATTTCATGTGGTAAGTAATATGGAATATTCCGAGATTTGTACACGAACCAAGAATTGTGATTTCGTTGGTATAATGATCGTATGTCCAGTCCCCGTTTACATGAACGCTAGGATCCAGAGTCACATCAGATGACTCGACAAATCCACGGGCGTCACTCTTTAGTCTGTCTGGTTTCTTGTTTACTTTTTGACGCAGATAAATATAGTCATTGTTCTATAAGATAAATAATAACAATAATTGAGTTAGATTTATGCCAAGATGGGTTTTATTTCCTTGTTGAAAGGGATATTAAATTCACAATAACATTTATGTTTGTTCAATACTTTTCGTTTCAATTATAACAGCGGCTTTTTCATTATAATTAAATAATTATTAGTTTTCATATTCTTAAATTAAACCTGAACGTAAAACATGATGTTAGAATTATCGGCTGTGAATACAAACTATATCTGTTATCGTTACTTTATGTATATCTTTGCATCGGGTGAAAAAAGAAAAAAACTACTTACCTCGAAATGGTAAAGTGTGCCAGAGAAACTGAGATTCGTTTGGATTGCAGCGTCAACAAAAGTAAGAGAATAGGTCTCGGTACTAACGAGTAATACTACCCAGCCGCCCTTGTGAGTGATTCGTTTTTCACGATACTCGCCGAGGGATGATCCGTACTGATTTGTCAAATTTGTTTGCTTGAATTCTAAAGAAGCAGGCAAAATGTTATTAAAACCAAACCTGTGGAACTTGACAGAAGAAGGACATACACTTGCGGGTATGCCGTAATTGAAATCGGAGAATGCAGTACAACTGGGTGGGAGTGTTCCAGTACTTGGTACGACTTTACAATTTACACTGTTGCACAAAGTGCCATCAAGATCATGTAGAACGCCCTCGAATAACCATTCATATCGGCCACGATTGGGAGAATTTGTCCAGGTCAGACCTGATGTTTTGTAATAGTACCCACCACATTGGTCACCACATGTACCGTCTATTCTTGTCCAGGTAAAGGCGGAACAGCTCGATTTATCAAAATTGACAAATTCAACATTTGTTACCCCAAACATGAATCCGTATGGAAGCACAATAGCTCCATTAGTACAGACAGAATTAGGTGAAAATGACGCGTAACCAACAATTAGGGAGTCCTTGATAGCAGCTTCATTTGACGGATTTGAAGAATCTTCACCTTCCACAATAAGTTTGCCTTCAAATCCAGCCTTTTTGTTTGCTACTGCACGGATTTTACTGAACTGGAGGGCGCCGGTGTTCACAGTCTCTACGCCTTTTTCGTTATTCCAAGCATCGAATGTATCAAAATTTACGGGTTGTGGCACAGAAGATCCACAAATACCGTCTACTCTAGGTGTGTATGTAGGAAAGATCCAAAGACCAAACCAACCAAATGAGTGAGCACTATTGTTGAAGAATGTACCCAACGTGATCAGTTTGGGACAGACAGAGCGGGTAAATGATGGCCCTTCCGGATGGTCATGCATGCGGTACCAGAATCCAAAGTGAGATCCACCGGCAGCGTGGTTGTGCTGGAGTGTATTGTTCGGATTTGTAATCCAGAAGGATGCTGGAGTGACATCATCGTTAAGTAGACTTGAACTCTCCCGTACGAACACAGCTAGGTTGTACTGGATAATGTTACCAGTCTCAATGCCGTCCTCGAAGAAGAAGGCACCTCCCATAACGTTATAGATAACAACGTGTTCAACAAGCAGATTTTTTGTACCATGTATATTCACGGCACGGTTGAACGTTTCATGGATGCCCAGTCCACGGACGTAACAGTGTGACATGTCGCCATTGAGATGGAAATGCACAGGATAGCGTCCCAGTCTAAAGGCCTGACCCATGTGGAATAATTCTACATATTGTAAACGGCCAGTAGATCTATGTGTGTCGTACTCGGGGGCATGAATCATTATTTGGCCGCCAAATTGATCGCTTCCCATTTCTTCGCCAAAACGTCCTTGAAAACATGTCTGGGTGGCAAACTCACCTGTAGACCAGATACATGGTATGCTTTAGTGTTATTTTTCCCAATAATTGTGAAGTATGAACAATAATATTTTCATAAAAAATACAGTCGTTAGTATATGCATTGCCTTAATCAAACTAGACTTACAATACGCCTATATAATGTCATTCCTAATATGAAAAATGCTTACCAGTATCAAAGCCGTCAGGACATGCTTCAATTTTCTCAATCCACTGCGCGTCACTTGTGCCCTGAACTTTAACATTATGTGTTAAGAGACCGACTTCAGCTGCAAAATTCATGGTGGCTGCGTTAGCGCTGGTTCCAAAACTTTCAGTGACGGCAATGTGCTCGTTTGCGAGATTAGAGTCTAAGGTCAAGGTCTTTAGGTCTCCGGCTATCGCTGTGATGGTTTTGAGTTCGTTCTGAGACTGTGACTTCATGTCGCCAGTTGTGGCAATGATGATCTGATCTCCTACATTCCAATTAACAGCTTGGTCGAGTTTAATAACGTTTGTACCTGCAGCAGCTGTTTGTGAAAGTTTCGTCCAGGTAACTGGTGTCGGTATACCTAAAATACGCATTAACATCATCTAAACAAGTGTTCGATTCATAACTAAGTGTATGCTATAATATATTTTACGCTATTTTGCAATAATTTAAGTATGACTTTTGTCTGTTTTCACCTACATCACATCACACTATTTCAAAGATATAACAGAGAATGGAACAGAAGGAAGCAAATTAACATAATGAGAAAACAAAACAGTATTGTACCATGCAGGTCCAATGTGCCTTCACGGATAGCCAGCGTCTTAGTACCATATATTGGGAGCTCTTTACTGCGATGATGTCCATGTAAGGTAATGGTTGCTTTGTGTTGAAAAGGTGTTTGTTCTGTTCCAACCTGTTGTTCGGAAATCAACATATTTTATTTACCCTACCTAATTCTGTAAAGCAAGTTGTTGCAAAATGGAAACTGGAGTTTGTGCCAGTTATTATTTTCTTCAGATAACTTTCTCTGTTAAAGTATTTCCTTTACATGTATTCGAGTGGAAAGCCATTTTATCCAAAAGTAAACTATTTAGTATATACAGCATCAACACGAAACTCCACTGCACAACTTCTGCCAGGCCTACACTATTTAATGTCGTCAATTTATGAAACTGTTACGATGGTTTCCCACGTACCTACCGCTGAATACGTAGGTTTAAAGCTATTATGCATTACAATTGACAAAGTCATAGCCCTAGCCATTGTTTGATAAAAAAAATCCATTAAAGATATACATCATAAGTATAAAATCATTAGTACGTCTGTGTCTATAATGCATCTAAATATATACGATCAAATTTTATTATATGATAAATATATAGAGATACCTTGCAGCATGGTATCCTATAAACATGTCTTAATCACACTTCCAGATATCGCACAACTTAACGGAACATTATTCTACTTAATAAATGAAGAGTTTCTTTAAAGATACCTGAAACAGTCCTCCGTTTGTGACTAAAACAATTTCTGAATTCAATTCCACATCTTGGTTGTCATCGAAAATGAGTTCTCCCCCTTGAATAAGAAGCATTTTGAGAGTGGCGGTGGTCGTGTCTAGGTAGATTGTTTGGCCGGCTTGGATAACGACAAGGTCGCCATCTGTTGGCAGTGACACCCCTCCCCAGGAATACACTGATGACCAGACATCAACGTAATGATAATCCGCGGAAGTCTATTAAGAAAAACGGAGTCAGTTATCAAGAGCATTCAACAAATCATCGTAATGAGAATCTAGTAAGTGGACCCATCTCATAACTCAGTAGAAAGGTATAAACATATTGATTCTTATCTTTAAACCTACACCTTGTGGAGGTAAGTTTTGTGTTCCGAGAAACTTTCATTCTTCGTTTGGAAGTGACGAAAATCAACGTAACTGGTATGTAACATATACTATCAAATATGTATTTATTCGAATGATGCATTTTCATACGATCTATCATATGAACACGATATCAGGAGCACCTAACCCCAAAAGGATGCTAGGTTGACATCACCGTTCACTCTCCCGAATTCACACAGCTAGGTTGAACTTGATAAAGTTACATGCTATATATATGGTGTTGTTTTCTTAAAATCGCAACTATAGCAACGACTTGGAAGTATATATTTTGGAACTTTGAATCTTGTATCCTTGATGGAATCACAGTTTCCACATCAGGTCATGTGACTTTCGTCCATATATAAATGCATACAGTAACATTATCTTCATTACGTAGAAACCAGTTACAATATACAAACCTGTCTGGCTTGACCATTTCCGGCGATCTCCACTCGGACCTTGCCTCGGACTGAAGCGGGAATAGAACCCGTGTCACATATAATTTGGCTAGCACTGACGCTGACGACTGCACACACACTGCCCTCTATACTTACGGCACAGTCAGACGCTGTCGTTCTGTATGTAAAACATAATGTGGTAGGAAGTTGTCAGTTCATCAAAACATCAAACCAAGATTCATTCAATATTTCAGGATTACCTAATTAACGAAACAATGACGATAGCTTTATTTGCATAAGAACGAACGAAAAATCGACGTTTCCTTAAAAATAACTAAGATAACCTTTCAAATTGAAAAGCGATAATAAAAATTGCATTCAGGAACAATCAGTAAATATTGCCCCTGTGTATCAATTTCAAAAGTTGGCAGTATATGCTATTTGTGTAAAGAAATGCAGCATACTAAGCTTTTTTAACATGTCTAAATGCTGGAACTAAATTGTTTGGAAGCCAGAAAAGAGGAAAATAATGCAAGGCAAAATATGTTTTTAGAAATAGATTAATCAACTATAGATACAGATACAGGACTTATCAGAAATCGTCACGAATTGTAAGTGTTCTATTTGAAATGCGTACCCGAATCCTGAACCTGCAACTGTGATACGTGTCCCACCTCCTGTACCACCACGTGTTGGGGTTACTCCTGTGATGTCCGGTGTCTTTGTCGAATCATATGTGTAACTAAGCGTCTGGGTGACAGCATTAACGGTGATAGATACAGTACAGGCCTGTGTTGTGGTGCCTTAAATCACAGGTCAATACATATTATACAATTTTTTTTTTTGCATGAAATTTATTGGCTTCGATATCTTCAGGTATATATAACAAAATTATTTTAGAGAAGGAATTATTAATATCAAAATATTGATCACCAAAACTGATGCTGACATCGATTCAATGCTAACATGGATATGAAAGATAATATTATTTCTGCAAGAGTACAGTGTATAATACACAATCCATAAGCGACAACTCGAATCACATGTATCAAATGCTTCATACAGTAACTCAGATTCTTGAGTTTCATTTTACATAAGGATATCAATCAATAGACAGCGATAAATGAGTTATTCTATAAATAGTATCACAAATACCTGGAAAACTTGAGAGGTAATTGAAATTATTGTTTTTACGTGCCTTTTGATGATTAAACTCGCTCAATGTACATAATCTGGACGACAGGTGATTCACTAGTTGTAATCATCACGGAGGAGGTTGTGCAAACCTCAAACGAATAAGGCGAGAACAACTTACCTGTTGAAGCAGGTGTGACACAGATAAATTGTGTTTCTGTGGAATTGTATTTGGTTGATCGGATACATGGCTGGGAACAAATGGTCACTGATGTGGTGTTATCAAATCCGGATCCTGATATTGTCACCGTCTGGTCACCACTTGTACTTCCTGTTGATAAATGTTCATTGGCATGATATACCAGCAACACTTAATTATAAAACGGTAAATTATCAAGGCAAATTTATTCAAAATTGCAATACGCCAAATTATTGAACACATACATATAAATTACCTGAATTGGGACTGATACTAGAAGCAGACATATCGAAGGTAAATGTCTTGTCGTTATTTGAGAGTCCGCTGCCTGCGACATCCACTAGTAACTCATAGCTTCCGGCCCTGTAGTTACCAACAATGCAAGTTATCTCCGTAGTTGAGGCCGACGTCACAGGGCACTCCCTGCCACCCAGAGTGACATTGTTGTCGATTGTGTTTACCCCAAAATTTGAACCACTCAATGTGATAGTGTCTCCCGAAGACCCGGATGTTGGTGAGACGGATGCTACCACTGGCGTGGCTCCAACGGTGTGACTAAATGTCTCACTTGAATAGGTAGTTCCTCCTGATGTTACAATAAGGTCAAGATTATTTGCGGCAGCGTGCGCAGCTGTGGTGCAGACGACCTGCGAGAGTGTTACAGAGGTAACTTGGCAGTCAGTGCCATCTATAGTGACACTGGCGTCCGCACCGAATCCATTACCAAAGATGGAAACCGAGGTGCCGCCGTTAGTACTTCCGGCTGATGGGCTGACAGAACTTATCACTGCTTGACCAGTGACAGTAACGGGTGACGGGTCGTGCTTTGAGCGACCTTTCGGCGTAACATCTACAACCAATGACTGGGAGCCTACTGGAACAGCAGAAATGGTACATTGTATTTTGGTATCTGCAGCAATTGTTACAGCGCAAACCTCGCCCCCTACAGTCACACTTACGTCTGCTCTAGTACTTCCAAATCTCTTCCCGGTAATAGTCAATGTCGCTGAAGAACCGTCTAGTGTTGTGGGTGAAACAGATTCAACGCTAGGAGTAGATCCAAGGTCGTAGGTATAATCACACGACTGGGCATCACATTCTGCAGTCACCATCTGTCCTGTGGCACTGACCTTAACCTCTAGTGATTTGGTCCCATCAGTCAGCGACGATGGAGTGAAACAGACAATGTTAGTGTAGGAGAGAGAGTTGATAGGGCAAGGATAACCCCCAATTGTCACCGTGACATCCGACATAGTACCTTGAAATCCTGCTCCAGTGATGGTCAGTGGTGTACTTCCTTCCAATGATCCCAAAACAGGAGAGAAACTAGAAACAACAGGAATTGCAGCAAATGTCTTGGCTATCTGGCCGGGAATGGCTATACGGGCGCTTCCCAGGTTTCCTACACGGACATCTAATGCCTGCTGTACACCGACAGGGGGACTTGAAGATGAGTCAAGCTTACATGTAAGGGATGAAGCAGTGGCGGCGGAAACTGCACAAGAATCGCTACCAAACAAGACCTCGTTCTGGCATTTAGTGGTTGACAGTCCAGTTCCAGTTAAAACGATATCATCATTGGCTGTTCCATTATTCCTGCTGATTGATGTAATTGTTGGTGTCAGACATGACCAGAACTTGAAGTTAAACTTTCCAGAATCTCCACCCGTAGGTGCAGGATCTGAACAGCCGGATATAGTACTAAGTGTACCGACACAGGATCCGGACGCTGAAGGATTGCCAACCCCTACAAACATGACAGAAGTCATTGTATAACTTAAACTACGATTAACTTTAATGTAAGACCTAAAACAGTTTTATCAAAAAAAAAAAAAAAAAAACAGTGAATGTTGATAATTAGAAATATGAACTTTGCAACTGATTAAAAATCAGATCTATGAACAATTTTCCAATTTGAGTCGACGGGACAACATGGTAAAAATGGTTCAAGTCGGATTAATTTTCTTTGATTTCGTGGTTATTCTTAATCCATAAACTTATATGTTTAAATCATAATAAGTTGACTGGTTAAAAGAGCCGAGCACAAACGAAAAATACATGTTTTTGCATTAAAGTTAATCTTTCATATAGCTAGTAAGAATTCACACGTGAACTTTCCTATTTCAAATCATTATGACGTCTTACCCGAATTCTTGTCATAGACAGCCTCAATTCCACCAATTTTGACACTTAAGTCTCCAACATACGATGCCTTGGTTACCACGCTAATGGACCCTCGGAACCATGTAGTTGTATAGATATCTACATAATCACTCCAAAAGTATTTGGTGCCCAATGTATTAAACTTGAATTCAAAAGCGCCTGCACAAAAAACCCCAAGAAAATACACTTTCATAGTACAATATATATACACATGTTTTATTTTTCAAGGACTGTTGAAATTGTTTTATTGGATCATTGTGGTGTATGAGTGTAATGAACACTTTATTTGATCGCAATGATATCTGCTAAGTAGTGGGTGTTCGTTAATATGGCTTATAGTGTCGATGTTTACCTTTGGGTAAATTCTCTGATGTAAAATTTTTTTCTAAGTTTCTTGGATTTTGCGCTTGGATTAAAATTATACAAATGGCGCAGTGCCAAAAAGTGTTGAAAGGACTTATTTTGTAGTGGTTCTACTAGTTTTTGCAATTGAATATCAACATAGTTGCGATTAAGTTTTTAGATGTTTTGTATACCATTTGATCAGGATGATTCTTACCTGTTTTTGTTCCAGTGGGACCACTACCGAAACCATCGGTTTCGGCTTCAATAGAACTAGCATTAGTGGTCTGTTGCACTCTCGGTTCATCCGGCACCCAGGTTGGGTGCCATGCCAAGTCCAGCGAACCGTGTCACCCTGATTCACTTGTAGGTTCTTTGGGTCCAAGCATAACCAATGCCAAAAGCTGAAAACGTTTCAAATTACTTGCAAATCTCAGTTGAAACTCAAAAACATTTCT